CGATCCGCGTCTGGCAGTTTCGACAGAATACAGACCACTTCGAATTATTTTATTCGATTAAGCTAACGTGCCTATCACGTTGAGGTTGGCTACGCCGGGATTCGTTTTCAGCAAGTAGATATCCACACAAGTGGACCTTGTTGGAGCATACGTTATCCTCAAATGTTGCATCGTACTAAGGATGGCGCTCACCACGCCATTTGCGGTATTTTATAAAATGCGCTGTTAAGACAGCAGGTAAAGGTTGTTCTGTGTTCTGTCGGAGCTGCCTGCGACGCGCTGATGAGGTCCAAATAGATCGAAATCGCGATCCGCGTCTGGCAGTTTCGACATAATACAGACCACATCGAATTATTTTATTCAATTATTTTTAAATATAATTTACCAATTTTACCAAAATTTGCATATTTGTTATCAAATATTATATATTTAGGAAATTAAATCATTGATTTATTACGATTCCGGCAAAAATTAGGACGGCCGTCATACGGAAGAGTGTAAAGCAGCCTTTAATCAGCGCAATTTTCGATGAAGTGATACAACTACAAAAAATTGAAACAGATTTGAATGTGATTAATTAATTACAATTTTCATGTAGTTCTGTTTACTTCTTTTGAGAGGGGACGACATTGTAAATCAATGAGGACTGCAAGGCGATCGCGTGAACGGGGAAAGGGCAACTAAAATTGAAAGTGTTAATTTAACAGAACAATATACGACTAATGGAGACACTCGAGCTCTAATTATATTACGAATCGGATTTACAACAGCACCCAACAAAATAACAAAAATGAATTAATGTACAATTGTAAAAGGCAATTAAGGATACCGACTTATCAAAAACTGAACCAGCGGCGTAGAAGTTCCTCGTGATGGACAAATACACACCAGCAGAGCAAGTTCTTGTACGTAATCTGCGGAAGCAGTCAATCGTTTTTGTATCCCATCAGCACGTCACGCAGGAGATAAGTACTTCCAACAGATCTCCAACCAATTTGGCTGCTGCATTAAGCAGCGCATCGGTACGCTACTAATTCTGAGTTCATTAATATTTGATGATGATGTTCATTTTCGATTAAGAATACCGACTTTGTTAAACTGATACCACAGCGTAGCAGTTTACTTGATAGGCTTGGGTTCAGTTTGAGAAATCGATATCCTTACTAGAAACATTCCTGTTTTGTGCTAATAATTATCTATATTTTTTACAATTATTTTAATTCGAAAACTTTTCCGTTTAGTTAGATTTAGTATTAAGGAAATTCCTACACTTATCCACCACCATAACATCTTTCATTTAGACTTCACCCCCTTTGTTAGTTGTTCTCTAGTTTTAAGTAAATTTAATTTTNATTATCTATATTTTTTACAATTATTTTAATTCGAAAACTTTTCCGTTTAGTTAGATTTAGTATTAAGGAAATTCCTACACTTATCCACCACCATAATATCTTTCATTTAGACTTCACCCCCTTTGTTAGTTGTTCTCTAGTTTTAAGTAAATTTAATTTTGTTAGTTAGTATGTAAGGAACCTTCTCATTAAACACATCAATCAAATTCGCTACTAGTTTTATTTTAATAACATTCTAGTAGAACGGGAGTTCAGAAACGCATCTTCCGAGTGGCCTCCGGATAATTTTTATCTAACGACTGCACAATTCCTTTATCAAACGTTGAACTGGTTTGAAATGGCGAGTGCTCTGCCGATAAACTGTCTACGCCGCGCGGTACTGATGAAAATCAGAAAGTTTAAAACCGCGATCCGCAGATATGATCAAAAAGTCATGTTAAATTCAATATTTTTTTTATTTAAACGTATTTTTCTGTATATTAAATATTACGGCTTTAATAGACAAGAAAATATTATAATATGACAGCAGTTTTATACCGTCCGCGATAAAAATGTCTATATCTCAGAATTTATTGATTTGTAAATAATTTAAGATTTTCATTCGATCTGTATGTATCTGTATAGCTACCTATAAAGTTAGAAGCAACGGTTCCTGTCATAAAATTGCAAATTTCCTTCTGCATTACTTTTAAAACACGAAACCAAATGCAATAAATCTATTGCCGCATAAGCAGACGAAGCTTTCGTTGTACAAGTGTGATTTATTGACATCTTTATCACTAAAATTACTTAAGTTTCTTCCTTTATTGCAGCTTACGTAATGTCCTGGCACGTAGTGACTTTCCAAGTGTAGTTTTATTATGCTTTATAGTTTGTTCTAGTTACCTCTTCATGGATCAGCAAATTAGAGGAATCTAACGCTGCAATTGTTATTATATGGCTATTGCAGCTGGAATTGGTCTAAAAACATCAAAAACAATCATCAGATCATAAAACTGTCACTATACAATCATAAAGTAAATATGTACGAGGGTGGATTGATAAGTTAGCATTAAAAGTTGTACTTCATAGAATTTGTAATTTTAATATCGCAAATTGCTTTACAGTTAACTACGTATAAGATAAGACTACAAAATAGAGTAAAAACTAGATATACCCACATATTTATCAAGAAAATTACAGATAATACTGCAGGGATACCGTGACAAAAACATTGAACAATAGGTCATGTCGCAAATGTATATATACGTATAAAAGTAAACTTTGCTTAATTCACATCCTGAACATTAAAAAGAACGCAACCGAATGCCAGCAAAACCTACATACACATATGAGGGTAGGTACATTTAAGTAATTGTTTGTGGAACTACGATATCCTGAGGGAATTACTTACTTTCGTATCCATCTCGAAAATTCAACCATATATTATCGTGAACTCTATTAGGTACTTCAACTGCAATTAATTGGAATTGTTATACAGTTAGTCTTGGAAAAATATGTATACGTATTTGTACCAAAAAAGGAATATAAAAGTTAAATGTGGAACAATAATTACTTTCTACGGTAGTCGATAGTTGGATTATAAGAATAGATCGAACACAATTGTAGGAGATTTGCCTGTATGCATTGTGCCGTTGTCAACTTAAACTTACTTTACGTAAAGTGTATATGGTGTAGCAAACAGTCACTTTTACTGCTATGAATTTTTATTGGACGGTGACTGTTATAGATACCGTATATATAAATGGTGTTTCTGAAATGAGTAGCAAACTTGCAGGAGGGGGTAAGGCACAATAAAACAAGAAACTAATGTCAATGCTCGTATGTACGAAAGTCCGCCGGTTTTAAGAAAAACATAGTTCAAACTGCAGACAAATGTAATTCCGGCCTTGAAAAAAAAATGCGCCAATGCAACGCCGTATTCAATCCGCTAGCAGTTAGCATCATCCGTGTATTTCTTCTGTATCTTTACACTCATGCATTGTTTATTTTGCTAGATTAGAGTAAGTGTGATTGACGATTTCCTGTTGTGAGTAGTCTTTTGTTCTTTTAATGTTGTAGGCTTATTTGTATGCGGTCAGTCGAATTAACAGTAGGTCACTGTGTCACTGCCATAGTTCAGTGTAAAACAGTAGTTGCTACAATAGCGTTCAGTAATACTTTGTCATATGATACTAATTTAATACGAATTCTTCCTCATCAGCAAACCGTTTTGCTATAGAGAGATTAAGAGAAACCGACAATAATTTCGAACAATCTTTTTAGGATACTTGCGTATATGTGCGTTTACTGGTGTTGCATCATAAATTTTTTCTAATAGGAGAATGAAGCTATTGGCAAACCACCCATAAAAAAAGATAACGAACCTTGACAATACCTCAATGGTGATTTGGAAACTTACCTTACAATTAATAATAATTACCTATCCGGAGAATATTAATTTACCTATTAATGTTTACGTAACGTTAATGTTATCTTTTATGTTCTTAATAGGTACCATGTTGTTATTTAATTATTTTTTATCGTATAATAGA